GGGCACTGATGTTGGGCGATTAGGCCTGGCTCGCAGTCAGCGTTCCAATTCATCCCAAAGGTGTTCGATGGGGTTGAGGTCAGGGCTCTGTGCAGGCCAGCCAAGTTCTTCCACACCGATCTCGACAAACCATTTCTGTATAGACCTCGCTTTGTGCACGGAGCATTGTCATGCTGAAACAGGAAAGGGCCTTCCCCAAACTGTTGCCACAAAGTTGGAAGCACAGAATCGTCTAGAACGTAATTGTATGCTGTAGCATTAAGACTTCCCTTCACTGGAACTAAGGGGCCTAGCACGAACCATGAAAAACAGCCCCAGACCATTATTCCTCCTCCACCCAAACTTTACAGTTGGCACTATGCATTGGGGCAGGTATCGTTCTCCTGGCATCCGCCAAACCCAGATTAGTCCATAGGACTGTCAGGTAGCTTAGTGGGTAAGAGCGTTGTGCCAGTAACCGAAAGGTCGCTGGTTCTAATCCCCGAGCTGACTAGGTGAAAAAAATCTGTCGATGTGCCCTTAAGCAAGGCACTTAACCCTAATTGCTCCTGTAAGTCGCTCTGGATAAGAGCGTCTGCTAAATGACGTAAATGTAAATGTAAATATCACTCCAGAGAACACGTTAAACTGCTCCAGAGTTCAATGGCGGTGAGCTTTATACCACCCCAGCTGACGCTTGGCATTGAGCATGGTGATCTTAGGCTTGTGTGTGGCTGCTTGGCCATGGAAACCCATCTCATGAAGCTCCCGACGAACAGTTCTTGTGCTGAAGTTGTTTCCAGAGGCAGTTCAAATCAAATCTAATCTAATTTGATTGGTCACACGTGTTTAGCAGATGTTATTGCAGGTGTAGCAAAATGTTTGTGTTTCTAGCTCCGACAGTGCAGTAATATCTAACAAGTAATATCTAACAATTTCAGAAAATATACCCAATACACATAAATCTAAGTAAAGCAATGGAATTAAGAATATATAAATATATGGACGAGCAATGTCAGAGCAGCATAGACTAAGATACATCAACTCTAATAGAATACCTAATCCTCTTTTTGTAGTGCACAGTCCATTGTATTTTGCGCCATGCACTATATAGGCCATAGTATGTCATTTCAGATGTAGACCAAGTATCTGTAAGTAAAGATGATACAAGTCTTTAAGTAGGCCAGAAGGACATGAATGTACAGTACTTGGAAAGGAATGTTAGTTGTTTACTTAAAACTAGTGCTGTTTTTAAAGGTTGTTCATTTTGCTGTAGGTCACTCTCCTTCTGAGAACACACTTTAATAATAATAATAATAATAATAATATGCCATTTAGAATACACTCTTAGAAGAAAGGGTTCTAACTAGATCTATAGAGGCTAGTCCCCATAGGGGAACCCTTTATGGTTGTAGGTAGAACCCTGCAAAGTGTTCTACCTAGAACCCTCTATAAAGGGTTCTTCCTCGAACTCTCTGTAAATGGTTCTACCTAGACCCCTCTATTAAAGTGTCTACTTAAAACCCTTGTATCTTGTAATCTAAGGGTTCTAAATGGAACCCTCATTGAATGCTAGAACCCTTTTATCTTTTGATACAAAATGTGCATTCTAAACTGGTGACTTTTCCGAACTAAAATAAAGAGGACTTGCACCCACCAAAACCACCAAGGAGCTGGATGCAATTCAATGCATTACATTCACACTGAGACCTCCAACCCCTCTCTCTCTCTCTGCATGGGTCTGTAAATTGGAATGATGCCTAAGCCCTTGAAACCCATCTCTGCCTAGCCATGAGATTGGAGAGTGTCTGAAGAGAACTTTGAGACTATAAAGTCAACAGAGATGAAGTTGGAACACGCTGGACGGGTATTTAAGATAATGACTCCAGCATGGATTAATAGATTAGACTTTCAATGGATCTCTAGTTTACCACTCTTTTTCTTTCTATCTCTCGCCATCCTGTTCTCTCCCTCTCTCTTTCTCTCTCCCTCCCGTTCTCTCTGTGTTAACCTCTCCCTAATATGTAATGCAGTACATGTCACTCATTATGTAACTTACTACAGTATATTGTTTTACTGTCAATTATATAATGAGGGATTCATGCAATCGTATGATGATCCATTTCACTTAAATACATTTTGGCCAAAGAAGGAATAATGTTAGTCTGTAAAAAAATTGAAAGACAGATTATAGTCTAACATTACTATTTATACACTTTTGTCATACAATATATATTTTCATTTCCACACATAATATTGTCGTCACGTCACGACAATACCCATAAGCTTGATATATTTTCCCATTCATTTCTGACATATGACCAATACGTTTTGCCTGTGTGCTTTTGACCATATGACCACAGGGCAGCGAGGTATACATGGCTGTTGCGGTGCAACAGAGCAGAAAACACTAGATGTATGAAGTGACCTACTTCTATGTTTGTATTCCAATCTGGGTTACTGGCTGCCTCTGGCCCCATGGCTGGACAGCGGAAACTGCACAACAAAATGCAGAGACCAACACTATGTTGCCTCCTACTGATCTCCATATAGACCAACACTATGTTTCCTCCTACTGATCTCCATATAGACCAACACTATGTTGCCTCCTACTGATCTCCATAGAGACCAACACTATGTTGCCTCCTATTGATCTCCATAGAGACCAACACTATGTTGCCTCCTATTGATCTCCATAGAGACCAACACTATGTTGCCTCCTATTGATCTCCATAGAGACCAACACTATGTTGCCTCCTATTGATCTCCATAGAGACCAACACTATGTTGCCTCCTATTGATCTCCATATAGACCAACACTATGTTGCCTCCTATTGATCTCCATAGAGACCAACACTATGTTGCCTCCTATTGATCTCCATAGAGACCAACACTATGTTGCCTCCTATTGATCTCCATAGAGACCAACACTATGTTGCCTCCTATTGATCTCCATATAGACCAACACTATGTTGCCTCCTATTGATCTCCATATAGACCAACACTATGTTGCCTCCTATTGATCTCCATAGAGACCAACACTATGTTGCCTCCTATTGAGCTCCATATAGACCAACACTAAGATAAGGGTTAAAGCCATAATTTTCAATTTGTTTGGTAGACAAATGTTTTTTCAGCCCCACCACTTGGTTTAAAGTCATTCAAGAATCATTGGGCATTTATAAATCATTCATTGAAAGGACCATTGAACAGCTGTAAATATTGCAGATTGTGCCTTTAAAGCCAGTCAGCCTCACTAGACATTCAGGAGGCGAAATATAGACACCATTTTCTGTGTGACCGCAGGGCAGCAAGGTTAAGGTTTTTGGGAAAGAAAGGTTTAGGGGTTCATGTCGGTGAGCAGCAATCACCTGTCTTCCTGAACTCTCCCTCTGTTCCAGCGGTCACCAGTGCCCTTGGAATCTAACAGCATTGATTTTGCCTGACTGTGTGTGGTGTGTGTACAGATAGGGATCAGTACTCTGCAACGGTCTATGGTGTCACCTCCCCTCGATCTCCAAACTATTATCACAGTGAAGCAAAGCTTGACCTAAAATAATCAATACTAAAAAGAGACATATTGGCACTGTACTGTCTGTGCAATTCTCTGACCGCATGCATTCTGATACAAGATCAGTACATCAGTATACAGAAACCGTAATGGATTTACTACTTAAAATGACAGGAAACACTATCATTCATTTAATGAGATGGCATACCAGGCAATACCTTAACCCCATGAGCCTCCAATCTTTAGTCACGAGACGCTCAGTGATCTAACCCCATTTCTTTATCTGACCTTTCAGTAGTGACTGTCCCCACTGAGAATTGTGAAAAAGTGTGAGTGAGCGGTGAAAGGGGGTAACTTCACTGTCAAAGCCATAATCAAATCAATGAACAAAAACATGTCAGACATGTTTAAAAAAAAAATAACTTTATTAATACTTTTCTTGTTCAAAGAAATACAATATATAAAAGACAGTTCTTTCTACATTTACAGAGCATCGTTTTTGCTTCAGAAAACAGAAACAAATCCTACTTGTACAAAGTGATCAAATAATCAATCCCCTGCACTGACTATGTGCCAAATGGTGTCAGCAATAAAGACAACATATTCCTCTTCTTTATCTTTCAAACAAAGAAAGTCTGTGCAAAGAAAGAATGCATATCAAAACACAATGTGGTTGTCTCAAATGGCACCCTATTCCTAAACAGTGCACTAATTTCGACCAGAGTCCTATGGGCCCTAGTCAAAAGTAGTGCACTGTATAGGGAATAGGGTGACACTTGGGACGCATCCCTGTGTTTGCTACATTAAGGCAAAACCCTACGGATAATACACTTGGGAAGTTTCCTTGGTAAAGTGACAATGTAGATCAAGATTATTTTCTTCCACCAAAAAAAAAAACTAAACTCAAAAAGCAGCTAGTATTGCACTGACAGATCGACTAGTACCCTTTAATAATAAAATCTAAAGGAACTCACTAGTTGACCACATAGAACAGAAGTACGGAGGTTTTGAGGAAGCACACACACCGCTACACAGTAGAGGCTGAAAAACAGTAGCCTGGTCCCAGATCTGTTTGTACTGTATAGCTAACTCCTATAGTCTGGGTTAGTTATACAACACAAGCAGATCTGGGATCAGGCAAGAAAAACAGCCTTACTAATAAATAATCACTGATCACTTATTGAGTAAAATAATACAGGGAGCATCTTACTTTGGGGGCCTCCATTTGTGAAGGTTCTGTTGTTATGGGATAAAATGCTGAATGGCTGGAGCTCATGGAGTTCCGTGTGAGTCAGGATTTTTTTCACGAGAGTGGAGTTACTTTATACGACCCATTGGGAATGGACTAGGAGATTCAACAATTTCTCTTTCCCTGTCAGAGTTCTGGTTTGGTTCCAGAACTCTGGGACTCATCTACACATTAATACCGGGCATATCGTCAAGACATCCCCTTGGGTGCATCCCAAATTGCACCCCTTCCCTGCAAAGTGCACTACTGGTCAAAAGTGGTGCACTACATAGGGAATGGGGTGCCTTTTCGGACAGTCCTTCTCTAAATCGGAATGCAGTGCTGTACCAGGGCTGTGCGGCTTCCTACCCCCAAATAACTTCTCATTGGCATGGAAACCACAGAACAAAAAAAAAATGCATTTCACTCCATTAGAACCATAAAATTAGATTCTTAAAGCTTAAAACGAAGAAACCTTTTTTAAAAATGCAAATATACTTATAAAACAACTGAACGATGATGTATGTTGCCTACTATTCTCCTAAAACACAGAATTCCCTCATATTGTACAAGCGTTGCAGGTTATGAGCCCAATAGATAATTCACATTCTGTACACAGATATGGAGCGGAAAACACAAAAACAACAAAAGCTCAATCCAAATGAAATAAATCAAATAGCGCCGCTACTGCTGATCAAATCAACTGATGCAATTAAATTAAGAAAATATAATACGCAATAACCCTAAATCTAAAATGGAGGGGTGGAAATTCAAAATCCCAAATCCATCATTGGTTAAAAAATATATATATAGTCGACAGTTGAGAGTGGAGAAATACCACTGTCAGAATGGCAAGGTGATAAACAAAGAAACCGAAACCGTGGTGTTGGGACTGGACTATGCCTGGAATGGCAACATATTCCCTATGTAGTGCATTACTGTCGACATTACTATATAAGGTGCCGTTTGGGACGCAATCTGGGAGTGGGGTGTGGTTTATGTCTCAGTCTGGTAGATCTTGTTGGAGTCGTGGTGGTTGTTGGTGGTATTGGAGTGGGCCTTGGTGTGGCAGGGGTGTGCTAGCCCACCTATAGCTCTGTGGATGGGGCTGCTGTTGTCGTCGTGGGAGGTGTTGCTGAGGTTCAGGAGACTGGTGCAGGTGGGCAGGTAGACATGCTGCACGTGTTCCACCTCAGATCGACACACCGGACACAACTGGGGAGAGATGGGTGAACGTCAACATAAGACTAGCGGTCACTTGTTAAGTTACAGATAAGGAACAGGTCAAATACATACTGTATCAAAGAACATGAAGACTTGGCTGTCAGAGGTTTGGTAAAGCATTGGCAGTGTTACTACGGTCTTTGGACCACTGTGCTACAAGTAGTTCACATGCAGAGCCACAATGCTTCAAAGCAGGGTTCACACTATTTTTCAAATGGTTCATAAACCACACTGTATTTATCAGTGGAGGCTGCTGAGTGGAGGACAGCTCATAATAATGGCTGGAATGGAATCAACCACTATTTGTTTTAATTTTTTTGCACCTTTATTTAACTAGGCAAGTCAGTTAAGAACAAATTCTTATTTACAATGACGGCCTAACCCGGCCAAACCCTCCCCTAACCCGGACGACGCCGGGCCAATTGTGCAATGCCCTATGGGGCTCCCAAACATGGCCGGATGTGATACAGCCCGGGATCGAACCAGGGTCTGTAGTGACGCCTCTAGCACTGAGATGCAGTGCCTTAGACCACTGCGCAGTCCTCCCCTCAGCAGTGTTTTGGCTGTTCACATGTGAGTCAAACTCATTACATAAATGCATGAACACCCACCACCACCACCACCACCACCACATGCCCTGGGCTGCAGAATGGACCAGGCAGCCAGTCTCTCAGAAACATATTTAAGACATCCAGAACACAGACCAATTATACTAACCAGTCTGTCAAAGTGACAGTGAAGAGTAGTGGAATAACACTCCAATTTAATTTAGCCAGTCAATTGTATTGAAGCCGTGTAAAAGCCTGTTAGTTAACCAACCGGGACCTCTAGATCGAATTACCCACGATACACTCTGTTCAGAAAAAGCTAAGGGGGCGGCCATCTTGGAATGATTTTTTCTCCCTGAAATGTTTTCCCTGCGTGTCAGTTCTCTCCTCTCACTGTGTTTGGGTCCAGCCACACAACACGACACGTTTCCCTGTGGATTTAATGGAATAAACATTTGCTGGCCTGCTGCCGGCAGCTTTAATCCACAGCCACTAATTCACAGTCTGCGGCGGCAGTTCAAATAAAATTTAGGAGATTAGTGGGAGGGCCAATGAGGTTAGCTGAACCCATACATGAGGAAAACGCTGGATCGGTTTTTAAAAGTCATAAAATGGATATGAGAGACTGCTCAGAGGGAGAGTGACTCAGGAGAAAAGAGAAGTATTCTCCTTGAATCCGTGCTCTGCCACTCATGTACACAGCAAGAACCCCAGAGTGTGCTTGTTGTGTTATGCCAAGGACTACCACTACCATCACTAACAAACTTTGTCCAGGTTCCAATACTCTTCAACAGCGTCCTACATTTCCAAGTGTTCTTTCCTTCAAGGGGACAAAGGATCGTATTGGTTTCTGTCCTACTGCTGTAGTTTATTAAGACCAAGCTGAAATATGTCCTCATGAAAGATGAGAAAAGGAAGACATTTAAACCTAGTGAGACAGCTGCATATTCTGGGGGTAGATTGTAGTGGTGGCATCCTAATGTCGACTTGACCAAAAACCATCAACAAAATCAATGTGCATAGTTCAAGTGTTCTCTCTATCATGGACTAGCAGTTGTTTCTCAATTTGACCAAAATCAACATGCAGAACATAACATTCAATAATTTACAAGCATTCACTTCCATCTCGGTCTCCTTACCTGTAGTTGGTTGGCGCAGGTCTGGCAGCACACCATGTGTCCACAGGGGCAGAAGGCTGCATCTATCTCCTCCTCACAGCACAGCATACACAGCAGAGCCTCTCTGAGCTTCTCTAGTCTCTCCAGCAGCGCCCTGCTCTGCTGGCAGCTCCCACAGTCCTCCCCCATCCCCTCCCCCTTGCCACGAAGGGGACTGTGCCCCGATGGCGTCCTCTCGCCGCCTGTCCCCGCCGCTCGTGCCACCAGATCCACGATGCCGGCATTGTAGAGAGCCCGGCGTGCATAGTCGTAGACCTCCTTGGAGGTGCGTCGGATGTCAAAGACGTACTTCTTGCCCAGGTTGATGTTCTCGTTGAGGAAGAGCGAGGCCAGGTGGCCCTTGAAGTCACGGCTGTACTGCATCATCACTGCGCTGGTCACCGTGTCACACCTGGAGGAGAGAGGGAGACGTTATTAACCAAGAAGTCGATCTCATTTTGTCTTCATCGGTCATCGAATGTTGGACACTATTTTTTAATCAATTGATTCCTCCATTTTCCCCTTTGACTCAACCTATACATGTGATTGATCATGTTTAACAGCAATAAAGAACTAGAAATCCTCTAAACTTATTCAGAAAAATAGTCACTACACTAAGCTCAAGTACAGAACAAGCCCCACCTGCACAACCTGGGGAAGACATGGAGAAAGGTTCTGCAAAACCCCCCACACACAACCAGAGGTCATCTGTGGACCTTTGGGTCTATTGTAACCCAGCTGTGAACAATCTCATTGCTCTGCAGTAGGACAATTTAAATGGCTGACATCCATTTTTCCAGGAAGAATTAAGCACTTTTTCATTAATATCAACACTTAGACCTGTACAGTATGGCTTCATCAATCACTTCAGACCAAGGACATGTAAAATGATTTGGTGAATTGGTAGATAGAGTGTCTTCAACAAACGTCCTAAGGACCATACATAGCACAGTCTCAGTGAATGTGTACAACTGTAGTTCATTTACATTTTTACATGTTAGTCATTTAGCAGACGCTCTTATCAGACGCTCTTATCCAGAGCGACTTACAGTTAGTGAATACATATTTTTTTATACTGGCCCCCCGTGGGAATCGAACCCACAACCCTGGCGTTGCAAACGCCATGCTCTATCAACTGAGCTACATCCCTGCCGGCCATTCCCTCCCCTACCCTGGACGACGCTGGGCCAATTGTGCGCCGCCCATGAGTCTCCCGGTCGCGGCCGGCTGCGACAGAGCCTGGATTCGAACCAGGATCTCTAGTGGCACAGTTAGCACTGCGATGCAGTGCCTTAGACCACTGCGCCACTCAGGAGTAGTTCAGGATGCATATTCAGCAAGCAGCACTTCACAACAGAGCAGAACGTTGAGTCTGCTGAGAGAACCTGACCTATCAGGACTTCTAAAATGGGGAAGTGAAACGCGTGACTGGTTGGCTATCCCCTAGGCAGTAGAATGCCACAGCACTCCAGGAGCGTTAGTGTATTCTGAGGGCCGTAAAGTTGGCTGAATAAGTGACAGAAATAACATTTAGAGGATGCTCCAGTTGGTAGTGTAAACAAACATGTTGTCAACACATTAGCATGACCGTGCAGCCCATGGGTGGTTGTCAGTGTTTGTGGCTCTATACTATACTCAGAGGCTCTCCTTTCAACCCTACTAAATAGTTTGCAGAGAACATGGAACATTTGATCAATAATGCCTTGGATCACTTGGTGATCAAATCCAACTGCACAGATATGATCACTATATGCAGGGTGCACTGTATAATTGGACTGCACGTGTTTGTGTTTCGGCTCCCCACAAGTGAATCCTCTCCTGTCCCCTCACCTGTAGAAGGCATGAGTCTCTGTGATGGCCCGGTACAGTCCGCTGGCAGCCCGGTTGCTGATTAGCTTGAATAGCAGAACCACACTGTCGCTGGTATCCTTGATCACCGTCAGGTAAACACTCTTCCCTGACTGGGTAGCTATTTGGATTATGGGATAGCTGATCCTAGAAATGGATAAAAAAAGCTGAAGTTGGAAACTATTCTTTAAACTACAATCCTGTAACATTACACAATGTTGTACAACAATAACATTTTGTAATATTACAGGATTTCAGTTTCATGATGACAATCGCAGAACAATAAGAGATTTCCTCAAAGGTAAAGATGGTGGGATAAGTCAGGGGGACTTTCCACTTCATAGATATTGACATTCCAGTAAGGCACAGTATTTGTAGGAGATCCTCTGAACTATTTACAGTAGATTGTATATTGTACGCCCCACATACAAAGCGCTCTGATGATATGGTTTTAGTCTCTATTATGTCTGAGCTGACTACACAAGATATGGAGCAGTTGGTTAACTAGCCTGAAGACCCTTCATTTACCTGTTGACCAGGCTGAAGTCCTCTTTACAGACAGTGATGCCCTCCGGACCCACCCCTATGGCCAGCCTCTGTGCCTCTGCGTCCCTGGCCCAGTGCCACTCCACCCCGTAGTGCTCCAGACTGGACACAAGCTGCAGGGCCTGGTACTCCACCGACCCCAGGCTCTGACCCTCCAACGCCTTGTGCTTAGAGATTATACTGTGGAGGGAGGGAAGGGATCGAGAAAGAGACGGCAGTGTCACTACTGGTTCACATGCAGAGCTTCAAAATGACTTACACAGAGCAACCATGCTTCAAATAGCTCATATTCTGTATTCATTTCATGGGACGGCTGTGAGAAAACAGTACAGAAATCACATCTTCACACAGCTGAACGTGACAGACTGCTGGGTGCTGCCTGAGCTGTCAATCAAATCGGTCACCCAGAGAGCAGATTTTCTAATATAATCCCATCATCCCCCTAATCTGAGCAAATAATAAAGGGAATCAATTACTAGAATGTAATGTGAGCCTCTGCAATAAATGTTATGACATAATTAAACAGTACAGATATTGGTTGTGTCATCCTCCCAAGGCATAAACTTGATTAGACGGAGCGAGAATGTCCAGAAAATTACCCATAGTGCAATAGAAGTATGCTTTCGCCAATTACTAAAAACAAACAGAGCTCACCAAATGGGCTATTATAATTTTGACAACAAACTAACAAGAGAATATTATGTCCATATAAGCCTGATTAAACCCAGTACATTGACATTTGCATTTACCCTCCAATTACAATGTCAGGGGGGATCCTAGAGTGTCTATGCCTTCATCTGTATCCTAGAGTGTGTGTATATCCTAGAGTGTGTGTATATCCTAGAGTGTGTGTATATCCTAGAGTGTGTGTATATCCTAGAGTGTGTGTATATCCTAGAGTGTGTGTATATCCTAGAGTGTGTGTATATCCTAGAGTGTGTGTAAACACAGCAATAGATCTGTCCTCTGACCTAGCACAAACAGTCCCTAGTTTAGCTTGGCCTGCACCCAAACTGCTGCTTCTCAAACTGTTGATTTAACCAGTCAACGAGCTGCTGGGCTACTCCCTGGCATGGTTGTCCCAACCATGTTGTTATTGCGTGTGAGTGAGTGAGTAAGTGAGAGTGTATTGTGGGCTTTATGGGTTGGTGATGGAAAACGAAACGGATGTGGGCATTGACTCGCTTTTAGGTTTAGTTTCACAGAAAGGATTAATAAATTGATGTTTAACACCTAGTTATAGCCCTGGTTTTTATGGCTGTTTAAAGGAAAATGGGTCAAGTAAGATAAAATACTATTCCTATATCAAGTTTTGATTTGTATGATTTAGAGTGTTTCCAGAATATGTAGGACATTTAACTGGCTAAAACTCAAACCTGCTACTGTAGCTCTAATTCTCCCTTAGGTTTTCAGTTCAATGCCTGAACAGGTTTGGTTCATGACTAAGAAAAACAAGTGACTGCATTGCAGGAACACGGGAAGGGTGTGTCTCTGTAGAGGGAACATCGTGACCATGTGTTATCAAGTTTGCGTCCAAAATGGCACCCTTTTCCCTATCTAGTGCACTACTGTTGACCAGAGCCTATGGGGAAATAGTGTGCCATTTTGGACACTAGCTAGCTATTGGGAGCCATTTCGGACACTACCCACATTTCCTCCGTCTGTTGCTCATGTCATGCTGGGTGACATCATAACATTTACATTTACGTCATTTAGCAGACGCTCTTATCCAGAGCCACTTACAGTTAGCGCATACATTATTTTATCGAACCCACAACCCTGGCGTTGCAAACGCCATGCTCTACCAACTGAGCTACATCCCCTGCCGGCCATTCCCTCCCCTACCCTGGACGACGCTGGGCCAATTGTGCGCCGCCCCATGGGTCTCCCGGTCGTGGGACAAACTTTGTTGTTCCAATTGCAAACCAACCTCCGTTGGTGAAAAACAAGTGGGTACATGGCGTCAACATGGGAGAGGAAGGAAGGGTGTGCTTTCTTTCTGAACCTTGTGAGCATGTGTTGTTTAATATTAAAATTAAAGATCACTTTATTGGCCAATTGCACACAGGGTCCAACCAAAATCTTACTTCTGCTTTTAACCCAACCCCTGTGGTGGAGCTGTGGTGTTATCTATAATGAACAAAAATATAAAACGCAACATGTAACAATTTCAAAGATTTTACTGAGTTACTGTTCATATAAAGAAATCAGTCAATTGAAATAAATTAGGCCCTAATCTATGGATTTCACATGACTGGGAATACAGACGGTCACAGATACCTTACAAAAAAGGTAGGGGCATGGATCAGAAAACCAGTCAATATCTGGTGTGCCTCATGCAGCACAACATCTCCGTTGCATTGAGTTGAACAGGCTGTTGATTGTGGAATGTTGTCCCACTCCTCTTCAATGGCTGTGCGAAGTTGCTAGATATTGTCGAGAACTGGAACACGCTGTCATACACGTCGCTCCAGAGCATCCCAAACATGCTCAATGGGTGACACGTCTGAGTATGCAGGCCATGGAAGAACTTGGACATTTTCAGCTTCCAGGAATTGTGTACCAGATCCTTGTAACATGGGGCCGTGCATTATCATGCTGAAACATGAGGTGGATGAATGGAACGACAATGGGCCTCAGGATCTCATCACTGTATCTGTGCATTCAAATTGCCATCGATAAAATGTAATTGTGTTCGTTGTCCGTAGCGTATGTCATACCATAACCCCACCATGGGGCACTCTGTTCACAAACATTGACATCAGCAAACCGCTCGCCCACACGACGCCATACATGCAACGCTGTCTGCCATCTCCCCGGTACAGTTGAAACCAGAATTCATCCCTGAAGAGCACACTTCTCCAGCATGCCAGTGGCCATCGAAGGTGATTATCTGCCTACTAAAGTCGGTTACGATGCCGAACTGCAGTCAGGTCAAGACCCTGGTGAGGATGACGAGCACGCAGATGAGCTTCCCGAGACGGTTTTTGACAGTTTGTGCAAAACTTGTTCGGTTGTGCAAACCCTCTGGCAACAGCTCTGGTGGACATTCCTACAGTCAGCAAGCCAATTGCACGCTCCTTCAAAACTTGAGACATCTGTGGCATTGTGCCGTGTGACAAAACTGCACATGGCCTTTTGTCCCGAGCACAAGGTGCACCTGTGTAATTATCATGCCGTTTAATCAGCTTCTTGATATGCCACATCGGTCAGGTGGATGGATTATCTTGGCAAAGGAGAAATGCTCACTAACAGGGATGTAAAAAAATTGTGCACAACATCTTTGTGTGTGTATGGAAAATGACTGGGATCTTTTATTTCGGCTCATGAAACCAACACTTTACATGTTGCGTTTATATTTTTGTTCAGTGTGGTTTCCTCTGTGTCTGTTGCTCTGCACACATTGGGTGATGTGTGTGTATGTGTGCTGGGGATTTCCAAACTGTGCTACTGTCTGCATTGCCAGTGTAACTCATACCAGGTTCTCATGGTACTAATTTTTATGTCAGCTGCACACTACTGACTGGTTCATAGCCAAAAGGTAACTAGAAGGCAATGTTATGGCTGGAGAAAATCATGGGTTAGGGTGTAGTAAATTATAATAGTATTTCACACCGAATTGTTTGTTTTGAGCACCAACCATAGATTCTTGGGAATAGGAACACAGCTTGTGTACCCAAGTCTAGCCAACGCAACATAAGTTTTTCATGTCAATTATGGTGATAAATGATTAAAGGTATAACCTGTTTTTGGATGAATTTTAAACATTGGGAATTTCTCTTTGAAGCACCTGACTAGATGTCTGACTGATGTTGGATGAATCATTAACAAAACATCTGGTACTTGGTTCAGCTAGATTTGGGTACTTTCATACCATAAGCCTCTGATAACATTACAGTCTACCCTATCTGTTCACTAAGCCAGCCAGCAACCTTGTCAAGGGCAGTTTTGTTTTCAAAATTCCAACAGTGTATTCATGTCCTGCAAACTCCAACTCCATCCAATTAGCATTAAGGCTCAAGCTTAAATCCTTTTTTTAACACACCAGAGGTGTTTATTTATTTTTTATTTTTTATTTCACCTTTATTTAACCAGGTAAGCCAGTTGAGAACAGGTTCTCATTTACAACTGCGACCTGGCCAAGATAAAGCAAAGCAGTGCAATAAAAACAACACAGAGTTACATATGGGGTAAAAAACATAAAGTCAAAAATACAACAGAAAATATATATACAGTGTGTGCAAATGTAGCAAGTTATGGAGGTAAGGCAATAAATAGGCTATAGTGCAGAATAATTACAATAGTATTAACACTGGAATGCTAGATGTGCAAGAGATTATGTGCAAATAGAGATACTGGGGTGCAAAAGAGCAAAATAAATAACAATATAGGGATGAGGTAGTTGGGTGGGCTAATTTCAGATGGGCTGTGTACAGAGGGAAGCGCCGGAAGAAGATGGCTGCCGTTTTACAGCCCTCTAACCAATTGTACTATTATGTGTGTTTTTCCGCGTTATTTGTAATTTATTTTGTACATAATGTTTCTGCCATCGTCTCTTATAACCAAAGAGAGCTTCTGGATATCAGGACAGCGATTACTCACCTCGCGTTGGACGAACACTTTTTCTTCAACGAGGCGTTCGCGAAGGATATTCTACAGACTCCCGACAAGGCCCAGATCCCCGTCATTCGCGTGAGGAAGAGACGGAGATATCGTGGACGCAGATCCGGGTGCCTTGTAAGGATCCGACGGCGAACGAGTAAACTGCCTCTCCCATCAATCCTATTAGCCAACGTTCAAGCTTTGGAGAATAAAATGGACGATTTAAGATTACGGTTATCCTACCAACGGGACATTAAAAACTGTAATATCTTATGTTTCACGGAGTCGTGGCTGAACGACGACAATGATAACATTCAGCTAGCAGGCTATACGCTACATCGGCAGGACAGAACGGCAGACTCGGGTAAGACGAGGGGTGGCGGTCTCTGTATATTTGTAAACAACAGCTGGTGCACAAAATCAAATACTAAGGAAGTCTCAAGGTTTTGCTCGCCTGAGGTAGAGTATCTTATGATAAGCTGTAGACCACACTATTTACCAAGAGAGTTTTCATCTATATTTTTCATAGCTGTCTATTTACCACCACAAACCAATGCTGGCATTAAGATTGCACTGAATGAGTTGTACAAGGCCATTAATCAACAGGAAAACGCTCATCCAGATGCAGCGCTCCTAGTAGCAGGGGACTTTAATGCAGGGAAACTTAAATCCGTTCTACCTAATTTCTACCAGCATGTTAAATGTGCAACCAGAGGGGAAAAAACTCTAGACCACCTTTACTCCACACACAGAGACGCATACAAAGCTCTCCCTCGCCCTCCATTTGGCAAATCTGACCATAACTCTATCCTCCTGATTCCTGCTTATAAGCAAAAACTGAAGCAGGAAGCACCAGTGATTCGGCTAATAAAAAAGTGGTCAGATGACGCAGATGCTAAGCTACAGGACTGTTTTGCAAGCACAGACTGGAACATGTTCCGGGATTCTTCAGACAGCATTGAGGAGTACACCACATCAGTCACTGGCTTCATCAATAAGTGCATCGATGATGTCGTCCCCACAGTGACCGTACGTACATACCCCAACCAGAAGCCATGGATTACAGGAAACATCCGCACTGAGCTAAAGGGTAGAGCTGCCGCTTTCAAGGAACGGGACTCTAACCCGGACGCTTATAAGAAATCCCGCTATGACCTCCGACGAACCATCAAACAGGCAAAGAGTCAATACAGGTCTAAGATTGAATCATACTACACTGGCTCTGACGCTCGTCGGATGTGGCAGGGCTTGAAAACTATTACAGACTACAAAGGGAAGCACAGCCGCGAGCTGCCCAGTGACACAAGCCTACCAGACGAGCTAAACCACTTCTATGCTCGCTTCGAGGCAAGCAACACTGAAGCATGCATGAGAGCACCAGCTGTTCCGGACGACTATGTGATCACGCTCTCCGTAGCCGATGTGAGTAAGACTTTTAAGCAGGTCAACATTCACAAGGCCGCAGGGCCAGACGGATTACCAGGACGTGTACTCCGAGCATGTGCTGACCAACTGGCAAGTGTCTTCACTGACATTTTCAACATGTCCCTGACTGAGTCTGTAATACCAACATGTTTCAAGCAGACCACCATAGTCCCCGTGCCCAAGAACTCTAAGATAACCTGCCTAAATGACTACCGACCCGTGGCACTGACGTCTGTAGCCATGAAGTGCTTTGAAAGACTGGTCATGGCTCACATCAACAGCATAATCCCAGAAACCCTAGACCCACTCCAATTTGCATACCGCCCCAACAGATCCACAGATGATGCAATCTCTATCGCACTCCACACTGCCCTTTCCCACCTGGACAAGAGGAACACCTACGTGAGAATGCTACTCATTGACTACAGCTCAGCATTCAACACCATAGTGCCCTCAAAGCTCATCACTAAGCTAAGGATCCTGGGACTAAACACCTCCCTCTGCAACTGGATCCTGGACTTCCTGACGGGCCGCCCCCAGGTGGTAAGGGTAGGTAACAACACATCTGCCACACTGATCCTCAACACGGGGGCCCCTCAGGGGTGCGTGCTCAGTCCCCTCCTGTACTCTCTGTTCACCCATGACTGCATGGCCAGGCACGACTCCAACACCATCATTAAGTTTGCCGACGACACAACAGTGGTAGGCCTGATCACCGACAACGATGAGACAGCCTATAGGGAGGAGGTCAGAGATCTGGCCGTGTGGTGCCAGGACAACAACCTCTCCCTCAACGTGACCAAGACAAAGGAGATGATTGTGGACTACAGGAAAAAAAAGAGGACTGAGCACGCCCCCATTCTCATCGACGGGGCTGTAGTGGAACAGGTTGAGAGCTTCAAGTTCCTTGGTGTCCACATCACCAACGAACTATCATGGTCCAAACACACCAAGACAGTCGTGAAGAGGGCACGACAAAGCCTATTCCCCCTCAGGAGACTAAAAAGATTTGGCATGGGTCCTCAGATCCTCAAAAAATTCTACAGCTGCACCATCGAGAGCATCCTGACTGGTTGCATCACCGCCTGGTATGGCAACTGCTTGGCCTCTGACCGCAAGGCACTACAGAGGGTAGTGCGTACGGCCCAGTACATCACAGGGGCAAAGCTCCCTGCCATCCAGGACCTCTATACCAGGCGGTGTCAGAGGAAGGCCCTCAAAATTGTCAAAGACTCCAGCCACCCTAGTCATAGACTGTTCTCTCTGCTACCGCACGGCAAGCGGTACCGGAGTGCCAAGTCTAGGTCCAAAAGACTTCTCAACAGCTTCTACCCCCAAGCCATAAGACTCCTGAACAGCTAATCATGGCTACCCGGACTATTTGCACTGCCCCCCCACCCCATACTTTTTACGCTGCTGCTACTCTGTTAAGTATTTATGCATAGTCACTCTAACTCTACCCACATGTACATATTACCTCAACTACCTCAACTAGCCGGTGCCCCCGCACATTGACTATGCAACGGTACCCCCCTGTATATATAGCCTCCCTACTGTCACTTTATTCTATTGTATATATAGCCTCCCTACTGTCACTTTATTTTTACTTCTGCTCTTTTTTTCTCAACACTTTTTTGTTGTTGTTTTATTCTTACTTTTTTGTTTAAAATAAATGCACTGTTGGTTAAGGGCTGTAAGTAAGCATTTCACTGTAATGTCTGCACCTGTTGTATTCGGCGCATGTGACCAATAAAATTTGATTTGATTTGATTTACAGGTGCAGTGATCGGTAAGGTGCTCTGACAACTGATGCTTAAAGTTATTGAGGGAGATAAGAGTCTCCAGCTTCAGAGATTTTTGCAATTCGTTCCAGTCATTGGCAGCAGAGAACTGGAAGGAATGGCGGCCAAAGGAGGTGTTGGCTTTGGGAATGACCAGTGAGATATACCTGCTGGAGCGCAGACTACGGGTGGGTGCTGCTATGGTGACCAATGAGCTAAGATAAGGCGGGGATTTGCCTAGCAGTGATTTATAGATGGCCTGGAGCCAGTGGGTTTGACGACGAACATGTAGTGAGGACCAGCCAACAAGAGCGTACAGGTCACAGTGGTGGGTAGTGTATGGGGCTTTGGAGACAAAACGGATGGCACTGTGATAGACTACATCCAATTTGCTGAGTAGAGTGTTGGAGGCTATTTTGTAAATGACATCGCCGAAGTCAAGGATCGGTAGGATAGTCAGTTTTACGAGGGCATGTTTGGCAGCATGAGTGAAGGAGGCTTTGTTGCGAAATAGGAAGCCGATTCTAGATTTTACTTTGGATTGGAGATTCTTTATGTGAGTCTGGAAGTTGAGTTTACAGTCTAACCAGACACCTAGGTATTTGTAGTTGTCCACATACTCTAGGTCAGACCCGTCGAGAGTGGTGATTCTAGTCGGGTGGGCGGGTGCCAGCAGCGTTCGATTGAAAAGCATGCATTTAGTTTTACTAGTGTTTAAGAGCAGTTGGAGGCTACTGAAGGATTGTTGTATGGCATTGAAGCTCGTTTGGAGGTTTGTTAACACAGTGTCCAATGAAGGGCCAGATGTATACAAAATGGTGTCGTCTGCGTAGAGGTGGATCTGAGAGTCACCAGTGTGTGTGCGTCGGTGTGTCCAATCTACACTCGTCGTCTAACATATCCCCCAGGAGTACCCTGCCCTTACCTGTCGACTGTTGCCGGGCAGGGTTCGCTCCCACACAGCTCAGAGTAGCAGTATTTGGCAGTGTTCTGGTTGTAGTCTCTGAACTCTGCCTGGGCCAGCAGGGCACTCAGCTCCTCAGCCTGCTCTGAACACATCCTCAGGTGGCCGCTGTGAAGGTCCTCCTTGACGTGCATGAAGAACACATGCCTGGTGTAGGGAAGAGAGAGCGGGAGGAGACATTAGACATGGACTGGAACAGGTGATGATTGGGGAGGAAAGGGGGAGTACACAGGGCCTGGAACCAAACAGGTGATGGTTGGTAGATCAGAGAGGGACACAGAATGGAGCAGGTGGTGATAGAGGTTGGGTTACACACACACTGAGCAAGTGAAAGCTGTTCCCAGTCAGACAGTGTGACGTGGTTTGACTTTTAACCCAGTGACAGTCAGTGTGTTCTAATGGCTCTCATCACGGTAGCAGAGTGCAGTGTACACACACACACACACACAGAGCTCTATAGCTATTATCATAGTGTTCAGAGTGTAAGAGGAGGAGGAGCTAGCCTTGTACAGCTTCTGCATTGACTAAACCCAGTGGTGTGCTGCGGAGCGATAAGCAGCCAGGTTGCTTCTGCATTGACTAAACCCAGTGGTGTGCTGCGGAGCGATAAGCAGCCAGGTTGCTTCTGCATTGACTAAACCCAGTGGTGTGCTGCGGAGCGATAAGCAGCCAGGTTGCTTCTGCATTGACTAAACCCAGTGGTGTGCTGCGGAGCGATAAGCAGCCAGGTTGCTTCTGCATTGACTAAACCCAGTGGTGTGCTGCGGAGCGATAAGCAGCCAGGTTTGCTTCTGCATTGACTAACCCAGTGGTGTGCTGCGGAGCGATAAGCAGCCAGGTTGCTGTCTGCATTGACTAAAACCCAGTGGTGCTGCGGAGCGATAAGCACCAGGTTGCTTCTGCATTGACTAAAACCCAGTGGGTGTGCTGCGAGCGATAAGCAGCCAGGTGCTTCTGCATTGACTAAACCCAGTGGTGTGCTGCGGAGCGATAAGCAGCCAGGTTGCTTCTGCATTGACTAAACCCAGTGGTGTGCTGCGGAGCGATAAGCAGCCAGGTTGCTTCTGCATTGACTAAACCCAGTGGTGTGCTGCGGAGCGATAAGCAGCCAGTTGCTTCTGCATTGACTAAAACCCAGTGGTGTGGCTGCGGAGGCGATAAGCAGCCAGGTTGGCTTCTGCATTGACTAAACCCAGTGGTGTGCTGCGGAGCGATAAGCAGCCAGGTTGCTTCCATGCATTGACTCAAACCCAGTGGTGTTGCCGGCGGATCGATAAGCAAATCCAAAGGTTGCTTCTGCAATTGACTAAACCCAGTGGTGTGGTGCGGAGCGTATCAAGGCCAGCCAGGTTGCTTCTGCATTGAACTAAACCCAGTGGTCGTGCTGCGGAGCGATAAGCAGCCAGGTTGCTTCTGCATTGACCTAAACCCATTGGTTGGCTGCGGAGCGATAAGCAGCCAGTTTGGCTTCTGCATTGACCTAAACCCAGTGGTGGGCTGCGGAGCGAGAAGCAGCCAGGTTTGCTTCTTGCATTGAACCAAACCCAGTGGTTGGTGCTGCGGGAGTCGATAAGCAGCCAGGTTGCTTCTGCATTGACTAAACCCAGTGGTGTGCTGCGGAGCGAATAAGCAGGAGCCAGGTTGCTTCTGCAATTGACTAAACCCAGTGGGTGTGCTGCGGAGCGATAAGCAGCCAGGTTGCTTCTGCATTGACTAAACCCAGTGGTGTGCTGCGGAGCGATAAGCAGCCAGGTTGCTTCTGCATTGACTAAACCCAGTGGTGTGCTGCGGAGCGATAAGCAGCCAGGTTGCTTCTGCATGACTAAACCCAGTGGTGTGCTGCGGAGCGATAAGCAGCCAGGTTGCTTCTGCATTGAACTAAACCCAGGGTGTGCTGCGGAGCGATAAGCAGCCAGGTTGCTTCTGCATTGACTAAACCCAGTGGTGTGCTGCGAGCGATAAGCAGCCAGGTTTGCTTCTGCATTGACTAAACCCAGTGGTGTGCTGCGGAGCGATAAGCAGCCAGGTTGCCTTCTGCATTGACTAAACCCAGTGGTGTGCTGCGGAGCGATAAGCAGCCAGGTTGCTTCTGCATTGACTAAAACCCCGTGGTGTGCTGCGGAGCGATAAGCAGCCAGGTTGCTTTCTGCATTGACTAAACCCAGTGGTGTGCTGCGGAGCGATAAGCAGCCAGGTTGCTTCTCTGCATTGAACTAAACCCAGTGGTGTGCTGCGGAGCGATAAGCAGCCAGGTTGCTTCTGCATGACTAAACCCAGTGGTGTGCTGCGGAGCGATAAGCAGCCAGGTTGCTTCTGCATTGACTAAACCAGTGGTGTGCTGCGGAGCGATAAGCAGCCAGGTTGCTTCTGCATTGACTAAACCCAGTGGTGTGCTGCGGAGCGATAAGCAGCCAGGTTGCTTCTGCATTGACTAAACCCAGTGGTGTGCTGCGGAGCGATAAGCAGCCAGGTTGCTTCTGCTTTGACTAAACCCAGTGGTTGTGCTGCGGAGCGATAAGCAGCCAGGTTGCTTCTGCATTGACTAAACCCAGTGGTGTGCTGCGGAGCGATAAGCAGCCAGGTTGCTTCTGCATTGACTAAACCCAGTGGTGTGCTGCGGAGCGATAAGCAGCCAGGTTGCTTCTGCATTGACTAAACCCAGTGGTGTGCTGCGGAGCGATAAGCAGCCAGGTTGCTTCTGCATTGACTAAACCCAGTGGTGTGCTGCGGAGCGATAAGCAGCCAGGTTGCTTCTGCATTGACTAAACCCAGTGGTGTGCTGCGGAGCGATAAGCAGCCAGGTTGCTTCTGCATTGACTAAACCCAGTGGTTGGTGCTGCGGAGCGATAAGCAGCCAGGTTGCTTCTGCATTGACTAAACCCAGTGGTGTGCTGCGGAGCGATAAGCAGCCAGGTTGCTTCTTGCATTGACTAAACCCAGTGGTGTGCTGCGGAGCGATAAGCAGTCCAGGTTGCTTCTGCATTGACTAAACCCAGTGGTGTGCTGCGGAGCGATAAGCAGCCAGGTTGCTACTGCATTGACTAAACCCAGTGGTGTGCTGCGGAGCGATAAGCAGCCAGGTTGCTACTGCTGCTGTGTTGTAACACTGTGGGGTCTGGGTACGATAGCACCATTTAGCCAAGGCATCCCTCGCTCTTTCCCTCCCTCCTTCTGCCTGGCTGCCTTGCTCATTCATTTATTGTCGCGAATGTTTTCCCCGTTAAATACAAACACAAGCCCACACAAAGACAGGGCTAAATCAATGTAATGACAACACAACGCTGTAATCTTGTTCTTTTGGCGAGGTAAGGGCCCTTTCCGGTTGTGGGTAAACACTTGTTATTGTGCCAAATTCAACATGCACCCGAAGGGGGGAAACGTGATAAAACAACAAGGAAGACTTTGGTCTGTGTGCAGAACACTGGGCTGAGGCCAGCCCAATACAAACAACCAGAGTCAAGGAGGCTTTCATTGTTTTCACCGAAAGCTTTGTTTCTTGTTTATTAGGTTTCAGAGATGTCGTGAATGATTAGAAGTTAGGTCAGATGGACCTTGACCTGGCTATGTGACATGATATACAGTGAGGGAAAAAAGTATTTGATCCCCTGCTGATTTTGTAAGTTTGCCCACTGACAAAGACATGATCAGTCTGTACTTTTAATGGTAGGTTTATTAGAACAGTGAGAGACAGAATAACAAAACAAAAATCCAGAAAAACGCATGTCAAAAATGTTATGAATTGATTTGCATTTTAATGAGGGAAATACGTATTTGACACCTCTGCAAAACATGACTTAGTACATTTACATTTTTACATTTTTGTCATTTAGCAGACACTCTTATCCAGAGCGACTTACATTTGCCACCTTAGTACTTGGTGGCAAAACCCTTGTTGGCAATCACAGAGGTCAGACGTTTCTTGTAGTTGGCCACCAGGTTTGCACACATCTCAGGAGGGATTTTGTCCCACTCCTCTTTGCAGATCTTCTCCAAGTCATTAAGGTTTCGATGGCTGACGTTTGGCAACTCGAACCTTCAGCTCCCTCCACAGATTTTCTATGGGATTAAGGTCTGGAGACTAGCTAGGCCACTCCAGGACCTTAATGTGCTTCTTCTTGAGCCACTCCTTTGTTGCCTTGGTCGTGTGTTTTGGGTCATTGTCATGCTGGAATACCCATCCACGACCCATTTTCAATGCCCTGGCTGAGGGAAGGAGGTTCTCACCCATGATTTGACAGTACATGGCCTCGTCCATCGTCCCTTTGATGCGGTGAAGTTGTCCTGTCCCCTTAGCAGAAAAACACCCCCAAAGCATAATGTTTCCACCTCCATGTTTGACGGTGGGGATGGTGTTCTTGGGGTAGGCAGCATTCCTCCTCCTCCAAACACAGCGAGTTGAGTTGATGCCAAAGAGCTCGATTTTGGTCTCATCTGACCACAACACTTCCACCCAGTTCAGGCCGAGGGAGACTGACAGTTCTTGTGTGTTTCTTCCATTTGCGAATAATCGCACCAACTGTTGTCACCTTCTCACCAAGCTGCTTGGCGATGGTCTTGTAGCCCATTCCAGCCTTGTGTAGGTCTACAATCTTGTCCCTGACATCCTTGGAGAGCTCTTTGGTCTTGGCCATGGTGGAGAGTTTGGAATCTGATTGATTGATTGCTTCTGTGGACAGGTGTCTTTTATACAGGTAACAAACTGAGATTAGGAGCACTCCCTTTAAGAGTGTGCTCCTAATCTCAGCTCGTTACCTGTATAAAAGACACCTGGGAGCCAGAATTCTTTCTGATTGAGAGTGGGTCAAATACTTATTTCCCTCATTAAAAAAAATGCAAATCAATTTATAACATTTTTGACATGCATTTTTCTGGATTTTTTTGTTGTTATTCTGTCTCTCACTGTTCAAATAAACCTACCATTAAAATTATAGACTGATCATTTCTTTGTCAGTGGGCAAACGTACAAAATCAGCAGGGGATCAAATACTTTTTTCCCCTCACTGTAACACTTTCAACAGAAAGAGTTTGGGAAACCCTGGGTTAAACAATAACTAGTATGACAGAGGACTCATTCTCTCCCATCAAAAGGAGGGTGAACAAGAGGAGAGTGGCCTAGTCTCAGACCTAAACTGAA